CCCCCAAAAAAAACAGAAGTGTATTGAATTGTAATTTATATTAAAATTTTAAATCTTTAAAACAGAAAAAAATAGGAATATTTTCTTCATAAAATTAAATATCTTTCATCAGTTTTATGCATCATCAGTATATGAAATTATTCATAAAATAATGAGGTCAAAAATTAAATAATAATATTAACCGAAGACGATGTATTCAATACATTAAAAAAAAGTCAGATGAGGATATTTTCTTTTTTATACTATCTTAAAATGTAACCCATCAAAAATAAATCTTCGCTGCTACAAATATGCGTGCTGTAAAAATGTAATAAATTTATTCACCTTTCAATCAGGGTTTCTTAAACCAAAACGTGTTCTTTATAAGTTTAAGAGAACAAAGATCGCACTAGTTGTTGCTATGGGAACATACATAGAAAAATAAAAAAAGTATGAAGATTGTAGTTTCCTAACTAACCAGCTGGCGTCAACAAAGCAAAGATTGATGGCGAGTTTACCATTAAAATAAAAGTGAATTATTTCTTGTGAGGTGTTTGAAAAATCAGAAATTTTTATTTTTATTTTAAAACGCCATATTTCTGAATTCTGCATTCATAGTTTTTTCAGTGTACGGGTATATTTCCTAGCGTTTCGATTTAAATTTAACAAAAGTTTAAAAAAAAAATTAAGAATCGATCAAAAAATGATGGAATTTTGGTTATAGAGTAAGCAGAACACAAAGAATCAATGAAATAAATATAGCCTGTTTAGGTTTTTCAGACAAACTGTTGTTGTTGTTGTAGTTCATTTACGTCGCACTAGAGCTGCACAATGGGCTATTGGCGACGGTCTGGGAAGCATCCCCGAGGATGATCCGAAGACATGCCATCGCAATTTTGATCCTCTGCGGAGGGGATACAAACTGATTTCGAGTAAACTGACTCTAATATCTGAAGAAATGAGTAAATTGATTCAATTCTCTTTTCGTATCGATTTTATTTTCCTTTATAGCAGTGGTTAAACAGTTGGCTTAATACTTAGTTTACGACTATCAAAGTTCAGCTACTTAGCCTTGAAATTTTAAACCCAACCCATAAGACAAAGGCACTCCTGGATCAAGCATTTTAGAGAAACTTGCCTTACTGGTGGACTTTTTAATACGACTGACCCACATTTGCGGTATATGGAGAGGGAAACCACGAAAACTTCCCTAGGTTATCCCGGTGATTCAAATAATCAGCGTAATTAAAAGATGCTATTAATTGGAATTAATTTGAATAATTGGCTTTGGTTTAAACTGATACTTTGGTAAGACTGATTTAAACAATTGATCAGAATGAACTGATTCCATTAAAATGTATTAGAATCCATTAGTTTTAAATTATGATTATAAAATTTGATCTTATTGTTTAACCAGAAGACTGTACAAATGATTAGACCTTTAAATGTTGTTTTGTGAACTGTGGAATATTTCTGAAACCAATAACGTGATTACAAAAATGCAATATTTTCAAAAACCTCTTTATAGGAAACGTCCTTCCTTCCAAAAAGAACTTTTAATAATTATATATCGTTTTTTTGTGTGATTTAAATTAAAAATGAACAAACGTTTTTTGAATAAATAGCATAAAAAAAGATTTTGACAAACTATTCTGTGCAACTTTGATTTCAAAATTTGAAAGGAAGGAAATTGATCGAATCTTATCTGAAAAAGAAATTAAACATAAAAATGCCAACTTTTTATTTTTCGAAAATTATTTAAATTTATTTTATAAAACTACGTAGTTTACTAAGATGTAAAATTTTAATTCTTAAATTAAGTAATAAAGTTTAGAAGCTTTTAATGATTAAAATGTATTTTTTTCATGAATATATTATTGAGTAATTGCGTTTTATAAACAAATTGAAAATGTTTTGATTTAAGTAAATAGTTAATCTATTGTAAAATGAAAAAAGCGCATATTTGTGATTTTGTGATTGGTAGCTTTTGATAGAATTTATGGGACGTAATTTTCCAGACCCTGGTTTCTACTTTCGTGTTTTCAGGGTCAAAAAAATTATTAATTGAAATAAATGAATAAAAATAAGGAATAGAAATAAATGAAAATAATTTCATTAAAAGAAAGTATGTTTCGAATTTGTCGCCTGCTTCCGGGACTTAATTAATCGTCTGAATCAGCAACAATTAACACATTTAAAGCTTGTCTCTCTGCTCGTTAAGTTATCATATCATTACCTTAAAATAGATCGTTAGATCAGAAGGTATTATGCTTTATTGTTTTTGGTGACGGTACAGAAGTTATCAATTTATTTATTTCCCAAGAATAGGTTAAGTTTCAAACGAATATATTTATATTTTTAGTACCAAAATTTAAAGAGTGCTTGCATTCTACTTTAAAATAAATCGAAATGCACTTTCCATTTCATTTGAAAATGTATTTTTAAAATCCTTTTTAGTTCCTTTAAAAATGGTTTGAATCCTTTAAGTTACTTTAAAAATAAGTTTAGTTTGAATTACCCATTATACTTCTAACGTAAAGTTGCTTTCTAAAAGCTATATTTACAATAGTAATCTTTAAATCCAACATTCTTTATCGGTTGACTGAAAATTCTAAAGTAAACAGCCGATTTTTTGTTTGTACATGCTTGTATTCGAGTAAGTTAATTTTAATGCAATTGCGAACTTTCAAACACTTGTTTAAAAAATAGAGTTTGACTGATTAAGAGCTATTTTGAGGATTAAAGTAGTATTTGTAAGGTTAGTAATATTTTTGAGACATTCTCTTTGCTTTGATAAAATCCATTTAAATTTTTACTTAAAAAAAATTAAATAAAATTCCTTTTAGTCTAATATATTTTTATTTCTTTAGTTAGAGTTTGTAATATTTGAGAAAATTCAAACCATTGGTAGAATTATAAGTTAAATTAGCTGAAAGTATTATGTTGGTGATCGAAATTTTATTGTAGCTATAAAACAGTTATTATTTTTGAGTCAAACGTATGGTATTTTCTATTCAAAAGTAAATTACTTTGCTTACTAGTCGAAGGGAGTTATGGAGCATATGAAAACAAAAAAACACTCATTTGAAGAAATGTCACTTAAGGTTCCCGACGATTTTTTCTATAGATAGATATAATTTTTTAGAGTGTTCTGAAATCACCACCCTTAATGCATATGTTAGGAAACCAAGCATATTATGGGTCTTAATATTTAAATGAAGGAAAATCGAAAAACTTTATACAAATCAGTTAAATTGCAATAGAAAGAAGGTCTGATTCAAATAATTTTTTTCTACTAACACGTAATTTTAGATATCAAATATTTTTTGGAGTTTTGCGAAATCTTCAAATTTTTGAAATTGAAAGAAAAAATTTTAGTAGACGAAAAATACTTTCTAAATAATTAAGAAGCCATAAAAATAATCTTGACTGCAAAAATACTACTGAATACTTTTAATTCACTCATGATTTTTTTATTTTTTTTAATCTTTCAAGATTATCTTTTACTGATAAGTGTTTTATTATTATCAGTTTACTTTTCAATACATACAAAAAAAAGTCCAAGTTATTATTCATTAGTGTCAATAGTTTCATTCGTATCAGGAATTGTTCTAAAAGTGTCTACTAAGTTCACAGGAATTTTTTTCTTTGTTTATTTAGCAAATATCGTTTTGAGGCTGAACAACAAAATATCGAGTTTTTTTTTAAGAAAGAAATTATTTTCAGCACATATCAAACGTTCAATCGTTTTGATAATGTGAGTTTCTTTTAAAGCAGAATATTTTTCAAGTAAAAAAAAAGCGCTGTTCTTAAAAATTATTATTAATTAATTTATTTGTTATCAACAAATTATTCATAACACAATAATGAAAATGCTTCTTTTTTTAGAATATTTTCGAATTAAAAAATTAATATTTTTTAGAGAATTTTCAAATTAAACTTTTTCAAATTGATTAAGAAGATTTGAGACTGGATTTTTGTAAATATGAGTTAAAAATTGCAACTTGAGTAAGTAGAAAAATGAAGATTTTAACTCAAAAATTAATAGTTTGCAATGCTTGAATTAACATTATTTCGTATTTATAAACCTCAAATGAATAATTTCAATGATTTACTTTTTATGAATATGAATTGAACATGAGTTATGATAAATAATGAAAAAAAGATAATTTAATGATAATTAATACTAAATCAAGATAAATTTCGAAGATTTATGTTTAATGAATCATATTGAAGTAAATTTTCTATGGCTGCGGGTTATTAAAAAAGAAAGCACTCACACATTGAGTTTCTTTTTTTTGTTCTTTCAAATTCATATGAACTAATGCACCATAATTCAAATAGAAGTCTTTTATTTTGATTTTCATTATAAATTATTTAGTAAACGGATCGCTTTAATTAAAAATATTTATACAAAATCCATAAACTCTCATAAAAATATTGAAATTATGATGAATGTTGATAAATTATTGATGAAAAATCTTGAAATTATTATTTTTTTTTAAAGCTAGGGATTTAAGCAATTGCAAAAAAATTATAATTATCATAAAAACCAAGCAAAAAAGAGCATTTAGCTTTTTGTATTTTGCTCTGCCAGAACCATTGAAATTAATGTACCATAATTTAAATAGAAGTACTTAATTTTTTGCTTTTCATTATCAATTATCCTTATATAAATGATTTGTTTTAATAACAATTATTGATACAAAATATATAAATTCTGAGAAAAATATTGAAATTATGATGAATATTGATAAAAAATAGGGATTATTTTCATAAATGAATTGTTTTAATAAAAAATAATTATGCAAAATCTATAAAACTCTCAAGAAAATTGCTTCAGAGATGAATCAATTCATCATCAAATCAACATTAGAAGCTTGAGCAATAGCCTAGGGGCTGCGGTCTGGTTTTGATGTTAAATTGAACCACAGTATAGGGTTATCAGGTTTAAGAAGTATAACAGCAAATGGTTTAACTTTTTAACAGGGAGTTGGTATTGAAAAAAAATAATAACTTACCCAATGATTTAGGGGTACTCGTATAGGAACTGTATCCATCATCACAGGTTCCAGTGAATGTGTTTTTCTTTTTGTCTTTTTCTGTTGCAGACGGACTTTCATGCTTTGCTAATGTTGTAACAACGTTTGAAATTGTGTTATCAATTTTTTCCAAAGTAGCAGCAGAAATTTTCCGAGCAGGCTCTTCTGCTTTAGAAGGTGTGTCATCTGGTGGGGATTTCCCCGACATTTTAAAGTACTTCCTATAAAAAATGAGTGCACTTAATCAAAAACGCTATAATAATCATATTTTCATAATTATAATGTTTAAGAATATGTATGTACTTTTAGAAATATTTGCGTTAGTGATTCAAACGTTTTTTTAATCATAGATTTGTAAAAAAAGAACTTTTAAAACACTTTAGCCCAGATGAGACACCAGTGTTTTTTTTCTGATGCCCTGATTGCAAGCAAAATATATATTTTGGTATTTTTTTAATTTTAAAAATACTCTAATAGCTATTTAAAAAATCTGTAAGATTATCGGAATTATATCTGTACTAAAATATAAAATTAAAAATAAGTAGTTTGAAAAGTGCTTGTTTTTGATTCATATTCAAAATTTCCTCAATAATTGATTTTGTAAAATAAAGAAATTTCAATGATGAATAACTGTTTTTCTTAGATTTAAATAGCTGAAAATAAGTGCACACTTGAAAAATTGTTTAGTTTGAGCCATGTTTAGAAGATTTAACATTTAATGCAAAAAAGGCATCGGTGTTCTATGCTGTATTTCATAACCATAAATTTTTAAAAGGCTAAATGTAATAATGTTCCCTTACTTTGACCTAAACTAATACAAAACAATGAAAAAAAGTATGAAAAATATGTTTAATAAAACTCAGGTAACCAAGGGCTTAAGTAAATAAATAGTTAAAGTGTATTAAGTTAAAGCTAGGGGTGATAGTGCACAAAGAGGATGAGGGATAGAGAATACAGTATGCACATTGCAACTCCTGGTATTTGAATAAGAGAAGTGTTGCAGTGCATACTTGAAAGAACAAGTTACTTACTATGAGAGTCAAGAATAAAACATAAATACTTTGTTTTCCTCAATTAAGTGCTATAATTCTAATTACTTTTAAACATAGAATGTAAGTAGCATAAAATATTAAAAATTTAACAATTTTTCATTCGTTTATAACAATATCTTTTTCCAATCGTGTTCAATATAATATCTTCTACTGAAATGGGAGAGGTGCCTCATTTTTTTACTTGAGATAGAAATTGAGAATTGTTCCTACCCTAGAAGAAATGGGACATTGTTAGAACAGATTACAAGGTGATTAGAGCAGTCAAAAAACAGGTTGATAAAGTATGGCAACTTTTCAAGGGTGTCCAATCCATTACAGCAAAAGTTAATTATACTGATTCTTTAATATTTTGCTATAATTAAAATTCTTCCATTTTTCAGGTTCTTCAATAATTGAGTTGAAATATTTACTTCGAATATTATATTTATTTACAAAATCCTTACACAAATTTTATTTATTATTGTTAACGATTTAATCATAGCATTATTAATAAGAATCTCTACTATTATACGCAATCTCTTTAACTCTGTACACTGAAAAATTTTCGCACATCTGAACACCGAACATGGTGGCAACTAATTTACACCTAAGTGGTGTTCAACTACAACAAGAAACCAAGGATAGTTTTTGAGTTTTTGGCATAGTGAAAAACCTAGAAAGTTCTTTTTCACTGCTTAGAGTTAAATAGCCACCACCATGTTTGTTATTCAGCAATACTAAAACTTATAATAGCAGTTAAATATAATGGATATAACAGTCAGTTTTCTCAACAAAATGTTCCTTGCTAAATTAAGTATGAGTAGTCCTTACCTAGTATACCCTACATTGATGTTTTTTAAGGCTAAGTGCCACTGCCCGGTATACCTGCTATTACCACTTCTACGGTGTTCCGTTCATAAAATGTCATGCTTTTAAATATGTAGAGGGCAGCAGTATCTACAATCAGTTCAGATTTTTAAATAATAGATCTGATTTGATATGTAAATGATAGATAGATTCATTGTGCGTGCGTGATCGTGGGTGTTGCGAATAGTTTGTAGAGGCTAATGGTACCGGAGTGGTAATGCGATTAGCATCGACCTCGACCTGAAACTAGGAAGGGGATTTAAACCATTACTGGTATAGATATAAAGTATTAGTCCCTATATTCGTCCCTGCCGGGGATAAAACTCCTGCTCTTTGTACAATAACAGCACATCCGAATGGCTTATCATTTGAACTCGTCCCCCATCGAAGTTGAAATTCTTATTTGAATGTGTAAAAAATGATGTTTTGCTAAAATAAGATATCCACACTTAAAGTCCTCATAAACTTTTTATTTTGTACCACCATGCATGCATTAAAAAACTAAGCTTATGCAATATTTTTTTCCAATGTTAAAAAGTATGTATCAAACTGATATTATCAATTAATGTATAAAGAAGCTAGAACAAGAAAAATCACTTATTGCTTCTTTTACAATTAAAGAGAATAGAATGCTTGTTAAAAAAGAGGAGTAACAGTCCTTTCTTTTAAACATTTACTGTCTGTTAATGCTTGCTATTTCTTAAACAACAATTTTTCAAGCTCAGAATCCTTCTTTTTCAAAATATTCGTTTACCTATGTTGGTTAAAAGTAATCAATATGGTACACCTGTTCAAAGAATATGTTAATTGAAAATATCGAAAGGTAATTAGCTGGAAAATTTCCGCAAATGCTTTGATGTAGAAAAACTTTGATCATTGAAAGCTTTAATTTTTTTTTTTAAAAAAAAGCAGGTGGCAGTATCGTAAATGAGACAAAACATTATTTCATTTCAACTTAAAAATTTTGTTTTCAAAGAAACTCTAACAATTGATATTCTGAAGAAAGGTTCCATTGTTTTGCAAATTGTTAACTATTTAATCAAAATAAGCTTCTTTCGTCTAATGAATTGGTTACGGGAATATTCCGGAATATTTACATCACGGATAGATAAATTAATAAGATTTTAAACTGTAAAAATATTTATATATGCTTGAATTTTAAAATATTATGTAATATTTAAGCTCGTAAAAATTGGATTAAATGAAAAAAAAAACGCCATGTTTCTTCATATAATATTTTCTTATATTTTTCATCATTTGTATCCAAGAAATATTTGCACCATTAATGAAATCCTACCATTGCCTTTCAAAAAGAGAAAAAACGTTCACTATATGATTAAGAGTGTATTGTAAATTGTGCAGGATTAAAATTGCTTCTTTTTATTTGATATTAGATATGGTTTTTTATAAAATACAATCCATTAATTCTATTTTTTGTCTGCCACTATTATACTTTTATGTAATCTTCGCATCTTATGTATTTTTATTACTAATGTTGTTGGATATTTTGGCATTCCGCTTCAGAATTCTGATAATATCATCTTCACGAGCATAATTATTATTTTTGCCGTTATTACATTTTTTCATAAAACTGCCCGCAATTTTTTTTTGTTAATCCTTTGACGCAAAAATTTTATTAAGCATATTTTTTTATGCTTTTTTTTTCAATATTTTGTTATAATTTAGGTCAAAATAAATGAAAAATATTATATTTAGCACTTTAATAATACTATATGGTTATCAAGAACAGCATGAAACAACTAGTGTCTTTTTCTGTATTAAAGGTAAAATCTTTTAAACAAGTCTCCTTTCCAAGCAATAATTTTTACTTAGTTGCAGTAATTTAGATCTAAGACTATTAAACTATTTTTTATGCATAAAAGTACCAAAATATATTTTTGCTTGTAATTAGAGCATCAGAATACATATATATATATATATATATATTTAATACAAGAATTATAAATACTTATGTATTAATAAAAGCATTAAAACTCTTTTCATAAAATGTCTTTGGCAAAGAATAGGTGTAAAGATATTCTATTTTGGAACTTCAAGGCTGAAAACATACCAATGAATAATAATTAGATTTATCTTTCAAAGGAGTTATTTTTAGAATCTTTCCCTCTTTCTCTTCCATATTAGGAAGCATTAAATGATTTTCCATAATGCGTAGGGTTACAAGGTATGCCTTTTCACCTCCTTTTCTGTTGGTATTTAAAGCAAGAGCGATTGTTTTTGTGTGACTCTTGCTGTATGATGTGTTCCATGTAAGATCTACCGGAGCCATCCGGAGTTTTGTTCACCACCCTCCCTTGTGGAGAGTGGATGTGAAATATTATAGCCACCAGCCTACCCGTGAATGAACTAATGAAGGAACAATTGGTTCGTGACTGACTTGTTTGAGCTAAACATAACCAATGATAACAGGGATATAGCCCAGTTATTATATATATATANATTTGAAAAAATTCGCTTAAGACTACGCAAAATATAAGTATTTAACGAAGTTTTTTTGCACCGCGCATGCGAGAAAAAATTAAAAAAATTTTTCTTCGTAATTTTGTAGTGAATCGTATTTAGCAACTAATGAAAAAAGTCGTATTTGAATATCTTGAAAAAGTAAGAAGTTTTGAACAATTTTCTATTCAGTTTTTGTGCTTTTTAAAATGACACTTCATAACAGGACGGCAGAAACAAAATAAAATTTGCGGAAAACCCCATTTTGAGTTTTATTTAAGAAAATACAAAAACTGCATTAAAAATTTTTTGCATTTTTTAGACAGTCAAATACGACTCTTTTCATAAGTTGCTAAACAAGGTCCACTACAAAATTAGGAAAAAAAATTTAAATTTTTTTCGCACATGTGCAGTACAGACGAACTATTTTAAAAACTCTAATCTTGCATAGCTTTAAGCGAACTTTTTTCAAATTTTAAAACAAAAGTTTTGTATTTAGTTTTAATTTGCTTCAAAAATTTGTCTAATTTTACTGAATATTTTTAAAGTTATAGCAAAACGTAAGAAAAAAAAAGTTATTTTAATAAAAATGTTCATACCTCTATAAATACTTAATCTAGAATTACGTAATTTCATGCAGTTATTGAAAATAGTAATTAAAGTAATTGTTTCAAGTTACAAGCTTATTGCTTGATATTCTGGCATATGTAAAAAATAACAGTTTTCTTTCATAATTTATTATCGGCCCCTCAAACCTCTGACAGCTTTAAACCTTATTGCAAAGTATGAAAAATCGCATGAACTAAACAACTCTAAAGTTACAAAATAATCCTCGGAGCATTTCTTGAGATATTAAGAAAAAA